AATATTCACCCACAAACTTAAGTGTTGTGTTGAATCAAAAAATGGATATCATTAACTTGATCTGCTTGTTAAAAGTATTGTGTATCAAAAATTAATTCTTATGGGCCAAATCATATGCCTAGCAGGCCATGGGCCCAATAAGCCCATCTTTTTGGAAGATACACCACCGTTGGTATAATCTGCTAAGGTAGCCCGCCGGTCTCAATCGTCTAGATGCCGGTTGTCTCACATTTGCTACTGAACTTACCTAAAAACTGATCTGCCTGATTGACATGGTGGGTTGGTCTTAGGGCTATCAAAACGGCTCGTTGTTCGCGAACAGCTCGTGTTCAGCTCTTTAAGAAGCTCATGTTCGGCTCGTTCGCTAAGTTAACGTATTGAACACGAACAACACAAACAAATATTTGTTCGTCCATGTTCGGCTTGTTTTGGCTCGAAATACTACTAATCAATTATATATATATTTTTTGATGAGTAGTATTTTTAAAAAATTTAATTGACTGCAAGGCTTCAAATATTTATAATCAATTAAAAGTATTAATGAAGAACTTAGAATAAAAATTATTAAATTAGATTCAAGTGATGTTTTAAATCTTGTCCCAATCCATAACATATTATGACTACGCGATTAGGGTTGTCAAAATGACTCTTTGTTCATGAACGACTTATGATCGGCTCGCTAAGCAAACGAGCCGAACACGAACACACTTTTTGAGCTCGAAATATAAACAAGTTAAACACTAGTTGGGTCTGGGCTCGCTCGTGTTCGGCTCGTTTACACCCCTAGTTGGTCTATCATACTCATTCGCCGAGCTCGCCTCACTAGTGATCCTCAGAATTGATCAAATACATAATTCAAGATTGACATCACATTCTCATTTATTAGCTGTCTGACATTAGCGGCACAATCATTAGTTTATATTTTCATTGAGATGACATGACTCATATTTTAATATTTTCCTAAATATATATAAATGAAAGCGTGGGGGACTCTTAATGGGGTTCTCTAGTTTCTTTCATTTTTCTCTCTCGTTGGATCACCTTCTCCGCTCTTTTGGGAAAAGGACCATTGTAAGAACACATAACTCGGATATGGAGAACACATCCATTATTTTCTTTTATCCTCCTTTTATGGGTTTCTCATGTTTGTGTGAACTCATGGACACTACGAGACCTACCTCTTAAAAGGATTCAACAAGTGTTATGATCATGGTGCTACGTGGAGGGAACCTAATCTAATAGGGCCTCTCTCCCTACTTCTAGTTGGCACAACAAAAATAATTTATATTTTAAAACTTAAACTTATTATTTGTAATAAAGTCTTAAGGAAATCTACATAGATACCTCACAGTTCTAATGTATTTATATATTTAATACTGAAACTTTGATATATACACTTATAACACTATGGTAGCATAATCTTATGCACGAAAAAGTGTTTCACTTTTAAAAATGGTTATGATGAATGTTTCTTTCCTGAATGTTGGGTGAAATATGCTTGGTATGTAATAGTGCATAATAAACGTATGGATCATAAAACTAGCATGAGTTTAAGGACAAAAAAAATATACCATTACGTTCTAATAAAAGCAGTCATTTATTCATAAATAATATTATAATACATAGAAAATATAAACTATTAGTTTGTTTTTTCTTTTTTAAAGTAAAACTGTATGATTGTATTATTTATTATTAAATGTCAATTAATGGACGAAATAAATGTCAAAATATTCTTTACGATAAAATAACATTTAAATCATTATTTATTTAATTAAATATGATGATTTTGTTATTTATATAAATTTTTTTTTTATGATTTGTAGATATTTAATTCGTAAATTTCAGGAGGCTGAAGGTGCACCATCTGTGCCGGTGATGAAGTCAAAACTTTTTGTGCACGCAACTAGTCGTCTAGAATCTTTATGAGCAATAAAAGCGTTGATTTTGGCAATGTGCCCAATCCCCCCCACATCCAATCAAATTAGATAACACTAAAATAATGAAGAATATTTGTGAGTCCGCCACCGCCAGTATGGAAGGAAATTTTAGATACATAGCACCTACTTGTTTTGCATTTCTTAATTTCTATATGTTTAGCACCCTAACTTATATATGAAAAGGTGGGTCATACTATTTTCAGCCTTTCGTACATAAGAAAAGATGCGTGCCATGTCAAAAATCTAATAAATTTTTTATGGGAATTAGTTCAACAAATTTAAAATATCTGAGATTATTTTGATATTTTTATAAATTTTGAGATTAAAATAGGAAGATTTCCTTTTTTTTTTTTTTTTTTTTTTTTTTTGGGATTCATGAAAGCCGTTTGTAACACAAGGCCGATCATGTGCGCCTCTGCCCGCTAAATCCGTGCAACAGAGTGTATTCAATGTCACCCCCATTGCATGAATTTTTTTTCCTAGCGTTTCTTAAACTAATTGTGCGAATGTTTAAGAGATAAATTTGGATAAAATGTTGCTCAATTCTTTTATGATAATAAATAATATTATATAAAGTTGGTTGATACCCCCCCCCCTTAAAGTGAGGGTAAAAATGTAATATAGTACATTGTCCTTTTTTATCTTTTGTAAATAGAAGAATAATGACATGTATTAGGGGCTCTCCCCTCTCGGCCGACCCATTGTGTAGAGAGAACTTTCCCCCATTCTCTTCTCTTGTAATCACAGTTTTTAGTGAAATAAAATAGGTCAAAAAGCTTGGAAAAAACACCCATTTCGCCTCCACGGAGCAAGTCTTCTTCTCCCTCTCATTTCTTCTTTCTTTCCCTCAGTTGCTAGCTTCATCCCTTGGGCTTGATCGGATAGATTTGGATTCAACAATTTGATATAATGTTTGATTGCAATGTAGTAAGCAGTTTGATTAAATCTTATTCATGATCATTTAAATTTTATTTTTCATTGAGGCATATGATCTTACAAGGGTTTGTTCAAAAATAAAAAAATAATATTTTGAAAAAAAAATTAATAAACTTTTAAAAGATTTAAAGTTAAAAATTCGTTAAATTATTTTTTAAAAAGAAGCTCAATATGATTGACTCATTAAATATTAATATGCTTGATTCAATATAAAATTTAGTTATACTTTCGAATGAGCTATTTGTTTAAAGCTCCTTGATTATTAAATTATTTAGATTTGAGCAAACATGAAATTAATCTAATTGAGATTGAAAGTTATGAATTGAGTTTGAACACTACATAAAACTAGAATAAGCTAGAGCATACTTTTGATGATTAAGTTTGAGCCTAAATAACCTTCAAACCAACATCACCATTAGTTTGCAACCCTATAAATAAGATCAACATTTTATAATCTAAATAGATGTTGCTTTGCACAATAGGGACTTGAGTGACGTGATGCTCGAATGAGTATCATATTGATTGGAAATAAAGTCAAGAATCTCAACATGTTTAGTGTTTCACACCCTACTAAGGCCCCATTTGGGACAGCTTATTTGGTGCGGTGTGTTTTCAAAACCCGCCCAGATTCGTTCGGATAAACGACATTTTCACAGTGTTTTCACACCATTCCTGGCTGGTGTGGTCGCAACTTTCTAGCTACAATCTGACTTTAAAAAAAAAAAAATTACAATAGTCACAATAGCTTATTAATTAGCGTATTATTTTTCAACGTCTTATCAACATCTTATTAATAACCTGCAACTGTCCCAAACAGATTCTAAATATTATTATTCAACTAACTCTTTATACATAAATCTCTTTTTAATAAGAAATTTTTTAAGACACTATTTTTTTTTTCTCCTTGAGATTTTTATTTGGCATTACAAATAAAATAATGTTGCATGAACTAGTTTGGAAAAAAAAAAAAAGCAAAATTTAATTTCTTTTTTAGATAAAAATTTAAAATCATTAAATGAATTTTTCATATAACCACTTTAATCTATATCTTATCATAATTTTAATCAAAATATTCTCAATGCAATTATTTTTCCGGAATAGGGGTAAAACATATTCTCTTTCTCACCTACATATAAATATCTATTCGTTGCTATAATTAAGATTTCTGCATATCGTACAAAATTACATAATTGTCCATCTATAAGAGTAGCGGCAGAACCATCATTATTTTCAAAGCATTACAAAATCATCTATGTTGAGAAATCAAAATTACAAAAAAAACCTTGGTCGGTCTACCGAGTGAACCACAACCCTAGCACGTACACCCTTTAAAAATAATAAATTAAATTAAATTTCAATTTTTAGCCTCTTTTTTTTCTTACGTCCACGAGTCCTAACAATCCAAAAATAATAATATGTAAAAGGATGATTTCCATGCACACCCCTCTGTTCTTATGTATTCACATATGCACCCCCTAACACTCAATTTTTACGCAAATGCCACTGCATGAAAAGGTCTTTCAAGTAAATATAAAAGATTTAGATGATTTAAGTGTAAAAAATTAAAGGTTTGGGGTTAATTAATCTTATTTAAATATTATTAAATTCAAAATAATAATTGATTCAATTAAAATTAAATTCAGTTAAATATATTTTATTGAATTTTTTTTACCAAACACGCTATAATGATAAAAAGGGAACCGTCGCTTTGTACCTCCCATTTCCGCCATGGAGCTAGAAACGCAGCGAGTTCAATCCATCGCCTCCCTCCACCTCGACGTGATCCCGCCGGAGTTCATCCGGTCGGAGGAGGAGCAGCCGGGTCTCACCACCTTCCGAGGCCCCGTTCCGGAGATTCCGGTGGTGGATATGGGCGGCGGAGATGAGGAGAAGACGGCGGAGGAGGTGGCTGTGGCGGCGGAGGAATGGGGTATATTTCAGGTGGTGAATCACGGGGTTCCGGTGGCGACGGTGGCGGCGCTGCAGAGAGCGGGGAGAGAGTTTTTTGAGCTGCCGCAGGAGGAGAAGGAGAAGTATGCGATGAAGGAAGGGAGGATGGAGGGTTATGGGACTAAGCTTCAGAAGGAGCTCGCCGGGAAGAAGGCTTGGGTTGACTTTTTGTTCCATAATGTGTGGCCGCCGGCGAGTGTTGATTTTTCCGTCTGGCCTGAAAACCCGCCCGATTACAGGTTTTGTTCCTTTTTTTTT